ATCGGAAGAAGTAAGTAGATGATTTGAGAAGAGAAAAAAGGGGAAAGAAAAGGAGAAGATCTGAGAGTGAGAAAGTGAGGAAGGAGGACGTACCTGTAAGAGAAGCGTCGTATTTGGGAAAGAGGAAAACACTGGAATGAATGAAAGGTGAAAGAGAAGAAGAAGGAGGAGAGTTAGAAGGCAACTCGTCATCGGCACTGGATGGAGAAGTGGCTGCGGGATCCGCTACTGTTTTAACGTTTTTTCGTTGTCGTTTGGGTCGGTGCTGGTGAAAATGTAAGATATTCAATTCATACACTTTATTTGATTTTAGGGTCGCTATTTTATCCTATTTTTATCTCATTTATTTTTAAGGGGATTCTTTGTTTCGTCCTTAAAAAGAAAAAAGAAAATAAAAGAAAACCATCCTGTGTCGTTTCTTCGTTTTTACTTTTTACTCTGAAAATGAGATTTTTTTTTTCTTGGTAAATAAGCTTTCACTCTGAAAATGAGAGTTCATTATGACTTTGGGTTTGGGTATTGTTCAATTGGCATATTAATAAAACGTTTTTCTTTCATAGTTTATTGAGAATAGAAAACGAAATGCACTTGACACCGCCGTATCTAATTTCTTTTTAGAAACATTACTAGTTTGATTCATTTAAAATTACCGTTACACAAATTATTTTAATTTATTTTATTGTGTTGGTACAAAATGTGTTAAGAGTACAGTTATCTAAAGCCTATTTGGTCCGGCCCGAAAAATTCATGGTGCGATATATGTGGTAAAGTTTTAATTATGAAAATTTAACTTATTTTGTTGTGTTTTAAATTAAATTTATTTTATTTTGTTTTTTATGTTTTTTACTTAATTTAGTGTAGTTTTATTTTATTTTAGTGTATATTTGTATAATTTTATTTTTTATTTACATTATTTATACTATTTTCATCTGAGTAGCATCAATATCAGTGCAAATCGATATTAAAATGTACAAAATTGAAAAATAAATTATTTCAAAATAAATAATAGAGTAATTAGCACCGTTCGACCTTAAACTCTTTAGTAGGTGACACTTTAATCTCTCTTTTTTTGATTGCTGCAAAAAGGTCACAAAACTTTAAAAACGATGGCAATTAAACCCTTTTTGTCTATTTCTATTAAGTTTCTAACAGAAACGATCGCGTGTACAACATATGCTCCAATTTGGAAGGACATATTGGCAAAATAATATTATATTATAATTTAAATAAAAAAAGTTGTTCACCTGATCTAAAACAAACTTAACTAAAGAAACCTGAAATTATAGGGAGGGAGAGAGAGAAAGTTAGGAGGGAAAGACAGGCACAACCATGGACGGAGGGACGTGGCATCGATCTTGCAACGATAGGGAGGGATGACTGCAATCTCGTGATGATAAGGGGAAGGGGCCTAGATCTCGATGGAGGATAAGGGTGCTTCGATCTCGCAGCGACGGGGAGGAGAAAGCAACGAGATCTAAGTGGATGCTTCTTCTGGTGGCTAACGAGATCTGGTCGGCGGAGTGTTGGGTTCGCAGAGATGTGGCCATAGCAATGGAGATAGGCCTTGCGTGACGGAGGCGGAGGTCGCGATGGCTTCACAAGGGGAGTGGCCTCGGAGGTCGTCAGGAGTACCTACCGTTGACGATGACGATGATGGGAGAGAGACGGACGGTGATGGTGATAAAGGCTAGAAGGTTGGCGCTTGGCGGTGGTGATACAATTTGAATCAAACAAGGCTTGCAGATATTCCCTTTGTCATAACAGAGCTTTTGAGACAATGGATAAGTAGTAATGGAACAATTTATGGTAATGGAACAACAAATTAAGAAGAAGGAGAAGAATTGTTTATATTGGACCAACCTAGTCCCCAACAAACGACAAAGAAATTTCCAATTGTAAACCACAAGTGAAATCCAAGCTCGAAACAATCAACTCAAACAAATGACATATTCAGATACCCATGATTTCCTTTTTTTAGTATAACACACCCAGTTTTAAATTAGCCATAAACATTCCAACCTCTGCTTTTAATTCGTCATTCACATTACAACAAATTCAGACACCCAATGATTTCCTTTTACTTCTTCTATACATCCTCTTTTGTCTTCGTCATCTTTTTTTGTTATTTTATTTTCTTTTTCTTTTTTGGTGTTAGCTTTTGAGGGTATTTTTATCCTTTAATTAAAAAAATAGTCACATGATGGTCACATGTAACTTTCTGTGAGAAATTTAATGAATTTGGTCAAAAAGGTTTCAATTGCCAACATTTTAAGACTTTAAGGACCGTTTTATCAAAATTAAAAAATTATTGACTAAACTGTCACCTATTAAAGAGTTTAAGGACCAATGGTGCTAATAACCCTAACTAATAATAAAAATAAATTTCTGTATTTTTTGGGCCATCTGATCATAAGGACGAACGGCCAAGAATAGCGCGTGCAAAACACACACGGGCAGAGGTGCGTCCAATGGAGGAAGGGAGACAGGCTGTGTTAAATCAGAATAAATAATAAGGAAAAAAATAAGAATGATAAAAAATGAAAAAAAAAAGAGAGAGAAAAGAGGATTTAATAAAATATAAAGATATGTATAAAAAGAATTTATTTTAATAGGAAAATGAAGAGAATATATTTATGAAGGTCACAATTGGAGAAAGCGAAGGCCACAATTGGAGAAAGTGAAGACAAAAAAAAAAAGGAAGAATGTGTAATAAGACAAGGGTGAGGGAAAATTGAAAAAGAAAAAGAAAAAGAAAAGAACAGGCACTCTGTGGGCCAGAGATCTTTTAAGACAATAAAAATGTTATTCATCCTCACGAGAATAAGACCCCATAATTAACAAAATGACAACATAGTTGGACTCATTTTATATGAGCAGCAGAAGTTTATCCCTATAGAAAGGAATAAGAGTACTCTTAAAATAATGATTAATCTTAAATTTAATTGTCAAAAAATAAAAATTTTAGATAGAGAAAGAAAAAGAAAAAAAAAACCCATACGAGAACAAGTTGAAAAAAACCCGTTTCGTGGGGAAACTGAGGGAGAAACTCAATTCTCCCTTAGCAAAGATTGATAGAAGATAGATTTGTTTTTTCATACTCACTAACGCGTTCTTTTTTTTCTTTTAAAAGGTAAAACTAGGGGTGTAAGAAATCACCCCAAACCAGATTAACCAAGCCTACCCGACCCTACCTGTAATGACCAAGAAAATTCCAAAATTTAAATAATACAATTTACGTATTTAAGTCAATGATTTTTCCTGAAAAAATATTAAGCTATATTTTGTGACTGAAGAATTTATGGAATTAATATCAATATTCCTAAATTTCGTAGCAGATTTCATGTTAAGTTCATGTGTTACAATTAAATAAATTTAATCGATAAATTCTCGCCGTAATTTAAGGCGGAAGAATTTCCAGTACATATACAGTTTGAGAATCTTAATTCCAAGAATCTATAAGCACAATACGATGTCAGCAGCGTACAAAAAAAATCCTTAATTGCCGAATAGTTAGGTTGAAGTCACGAGAAAAATACTTATAGTAAAATGGTACGATGTGAGCTCAGGAGTTAACACTGTAAGTAGCAATGTCATTCCTGAAATATAATGCAGAAAAGTTAAATTTAGAATTTATTCAGTCCAGAATTAATTTCAAGACTTGAAACAGTTCAAAATATTACGTGAGTAAGAATTTAATATCGAAGTACTAGGGGATTAATATTGAACTGTAAATAAGCAGTAGAAAATGAACCGTCATAAACTAGAATTTTCTGTCGGCTAGGTACTTCCTTATAACCAATATAATTTTTAACAATTTCAAAGGAAACTTAAGCGATTAGACAAAAATACAAGGGGTAGGTTAATGTTTAGATTGGATGAGGTGTGATGGTGGAAGATGAAGAGTACTCATGATAGTTTTTTTTTTTTTTTTCCTCTTTTTCTTCACTTGGCCGACCATGTTAAGGGGTTTTAAGCAAAAATTTTGATTAGTTGAGTGTACTAGAAGACTTCATGATGAGATGAATCAAATTAACTATTTAACAAAAAAGCTTACTTCACTTCACTCTTAAAACACCAAACCGGTCATACCTCTCTTTTTTCCTCTCAAAAAATATTTCACTCATCTTTCTAAACACAAAGCACTAGTCTAGCATCTCAAGAAGAAGGAAGGGACCAAAGTGTCCTAGAAGGTGTCTAGGTAAGGATTTCTTCAAGGGTAAGACTCTAAACCTTGTCTTTCTTGTTTCTAACAAAATTTGAGATTTAGAAATGCTCTTCTCAAATTTTTCCACTCTTCTAGTTCCAAGTCATTAGCAAAACTTAGAGGAAGAAGAAGGTGATCAAAGTGTTTTATGAGGAGCCTAACCAAGAATCTTCTTCAAGGGTAAAAACTCTAAACCCTTCCTCTATTTTTCTACCAAAGTTAAGTTGTGAATCATGGATGTAATTTGTGGTTCTTGAGGAAATAAGTTGTAATAAGGGTGTGTGAGTTTAATGTTAGTTTTGTGTGTTTTGAGGTTAGTTTGATTAGTATTATATTATATGTTTATGTTTGGTTTAAGTTTGCTTATTTTAGGTTGGAGAAAAAATTTTCCAGTTACTTTGAACGCAAAAATGAGGATCCTAGAGCGAGATTTTTCAGTGTTTCTAAATTTGAACTTATGGTTCTCGATATTTTAAACGTTTTGCTGTGACTGTGACAAAACTCAATTTTAACTCTAAATGCAAGTTTTAAGCCATTTTTTAAAAATAGTACAGGCTGTCCAAAACAGTTTCAGAAAAAAAAAACTGGTAGCCACTGTTTTCAGCCAAACGATGCCTTTAGAGGTCAAATTTTGGCTTTCTCTAAAAATGACAATTTTAGATCTCAATGAGATGAAGAATTTTCATGAAGATCAGATGTTCAAAATATGAATCTAAGATGCAGTAAAACACAGATTTCAGAAACTGTACAGTTTTAACTAAACGAAACTAACACAGTGTTGGTTTTTTAACAAAATGTTATCAAAGAACCCGAGATGTGATTTCAGTAAAATTCTATGGTGTTAGACCTCATTTTAATGGAAATATTCGTGAAGAAAGTTTTCAAAAAAAAAATGGTTTCTTTTAAGAACTTAATAGTTTTTCGAGCAAAACATCTCAACGGGCACCTACGAGCCCAATATGTTAGGTCCTTAGAATTACGAAGATTAGATATGGGTCCAACGCCTGTATTAAGTCAAGAGACCTCGTTTGAGTTTAAATTTCAGTGACCTAAGAGTTAGAACGTCGTGAATAAGTTTCTAAGCCGAATTGGGCCTTAATATCTTAACAAGTCCAATGAGGTAAATTATGAAAAATAAGTTATTAGATTGGGTAATTGATTTTCAATCTAGACAAGTGAATGTTAAGGGCAATTAAGAAAAATAAGATTTGGAGGATTTAATAAATTGATCCTTATAGTAAATTATCCTTCAGTAAAGGAGATGAATACATGCCTTAAGGAAATGGTTAGATTTTCCTTCATAAGCTGCTAAAATAGAATAGCAAACGACAGTTAATCTCACACTCTCAATAGGTGTTCATTTTCAGAAGTAAGCAAGTAAGAGAATAGGTTGTTTGGCAAAAAGTGAATTCCAGCTCTGTAAATCAAGTAATTAGGAAACTTGCCTACAGTATAAATAGATTTTAAAGGAAAAAGTTACACATGTTATGTGCGCATGTTTATGCTTTATGCGATGTCATGCCATAATGCATATACCTTAATAAGTAAAGTGGAACTTATAAGAATAAACTCAGTTGAGTGTCGTACCAGCCTCTGAGAGAGAGGTAACTCAGACTCCGTAAGGAGGAGGAATTATTCAGTGCACCGGGTGTACCACGTCATATTGCTTATGTGGTACACCCGTCCAATAAGATTGTATCATTTGGTACACCCTTCCAATAAGCTTTTCACTTTTATTTTTCTCTTTCCTAATAGGTATTCAATACAAATACCTATTAGGAAAGAGAAAAATAAAATTGAAAAGCTTATTGGACGGGTGTACCAAATGATACAATCTCATTGGACGGGGGGACCACATAAGCAATATGACGTGGTACACCCGGTGGACTGAATAATTCTTCCGCAAGGAGATATAAAAGAAAAAAAAAGTATATAGTAAGTTAAATCATTGTGTCGTTGGAGACCTTGCAAACTCTCACGTCTCGATGGTTGCGCGCACATGGTATGAGCACTCGGGCCCAAAAGTAAGTAAGATAAGATCAGACATTAAGAATTTAATAAGACATGATAATAATTAAGCATAATTGGCTCATGCATATTTATTCATGTGAATTTACAGTTATTTTACGAGAGATAGTTCCTACTTGCTGAGTGAAAGCTCATCATAGAATATTTATACTGTAGGTAAGCAACCTACACATAATATTTGATGGACTGATGGCGAATAGATGAATGATGTAGAGATCGGGGAACGGATACCGCTCGCAAATATTTCCGCAATCAGTTTTATGTTATAAATAGTTTGGCTAATTATGATTCTAAAACTATATGTTAAATGGTTTTGTGGATTATGGTTGTAAGTAAGCAAGACTTAAGAATTAAGTATATACATATAGATATATCTATATGCCTTGAGAAACAGATATGTTAAGGTTTGAATATTTTAATCAAGAAAATAATTCATAACTTATGTCTACTATAAGACTTAAAAAAAATGTTCTGCAAATTTTAAGAAATTTCAGCAAGTACAAATTAATTTTAGCTACAGTGACGGCCACTGAGGAGGGTCGTCACACTACCCTACCCGAAAATATAGGATATTCTTTTTTTATTAATTTTTTCAGTTTTAAAATAGCCCAACCCGTATTGTGCGGGTAAGGTCGCGGGCCGGGCTTTATTTGACCTATTAAACCCTACCCGGCCGACCATGATATTGGTCCTAATGTAAAAAAAAAAAAAAAAAAAAAAAAAAACCTGCAGCCCTACTTTCTTGTTTCTTCGTCAGTTTCTTTCTTTCTCGACCCCTTTGTCCCCTTTGTCTTTGCGCCGCTCTCTCAAGTCTCTGACTCTGAGACTGAGTCTCTCGATTTTGGTTGTTTCTTCTTCTTCTCACTTCCTCCGCATGTCACCGCCTCTCCCTCAGATCCTTTTTTCTCTTATCTCGTCAGCTTGGGATGTGCAATGGGAAGGCTTGCTCGCTACAATGGTGGATTTGAAGGGGTTGGTTGGATTTTATTTTTTTTCTCTCTTTTCTCCTTTGAATTGCCTTGACAAGATTGGGTTGGCTGTGATTTGTGCAAGGTAAGTGTTTGGGTTAGTTGTGATTTGTGATTTGGTCGTGTTTGCAAGGTAAGTATTGGTTGTGATCTTTTGGATGTGCTTTTTGGTATGAGCATTCGCAGAGGTAAACCCATGGACTAGAAGTAAATTTGCTTTGAGTTTATCTAGGTACACGAGAGTCTTGAAATGAGAGTTGGTTTTACAAAGTATTCTAGACAATAAGCATAATTCTTAATGGAATGAGAAGCAATTTTTTTTTAGATGTTTTTTCTCAAGTATAACTGGTTTGAGAAGCACAATTTTTCAAATTTTTTTTTCAATTTTTTTAAAAATTGATGGTTTACCCAATGTAACATGACCAACCCGAGATTACCCGAAGTAACCGAATAGTGTACGGATTCTGGGGACAAGTAACTTGTTGCGACCCACATTTGTCTCAGCCCGATTCTTGTGGGCCGGCCCAACTCTTTGTTAAAATCCTATCCTACCCAGCCAAATTTCACCCTAGGTAATAGCAGGCACTTTCAACCATATTTTTTTTATATGTAGAAAATAATACATATGCATTTTATGTTTTTCAGTGTCTTGTCGGTCTCTGGCTTCAGTATAATCCTTTTAACGAAATTAAAAACAAAAAAACAAACAAACATTTCAAAAATTTTTAGAAAAAGGACAACGTAGCCAACCTTTTGAATTGTGTTGATTTATCTAATTCTAGTGTTTTTGTGATTTTTGAAGTTTGATTAATTGGATTAACCAACTGAAGTGAGTAGTTCGTGGTCGGTTCACAGGGTGGACCATGAACGGAAGTTTAGTGGGATTCCGAGAACGATTCCGGTGAGAGCTCTCTCGTCATACAGATTCAGAGAGAGAGAGAGAGAGAGAGAGAGAGACCCACCCAATCAATCACTCACTAAATGGAAGGGGAAGGGGTTCGGGGAAGGGGAAAACTCTCCGTTAATTATCCTCTTGTTCGCACATTTTCATCCCATTTTCTCTGGAAGCCGTCCCGCCATTCCTGTTAAAGGAAAGGAGTAAAAGGGACGACCTTGCTCCTATTCCTATTAGCCAAAAAAAAAAAAAAAAAACGTGGTTCAATTATTGACGGAAGATGGGTTTGAGTTACTTTTTGTATTTCTATAAGAGCCACAATCATCCTCGTTGCATTCGAGCCACAATCATCTTGACAGGACCCCCTTCCTATCATCTTTTCAACATTGCAAAATCCAGCAACTAATATAACCTTTACTCCTTGGAAATAATTCAAACCCCTGATGCAAAGATCATAGAAAACTATGAGTTGCAAGACTTGTAACCTCAACAGCTCAACACAGTACCTAAGCTCAGAAGTTCTTTCAACAGAAAGCTAGAGAAGGAAAAATGCAAAAATGTTAAAAGAGGAAAAAATCGATATCTTTCTTCCTTTTATTTCCACTCTTTTGAGCAACAGAGGTTTAACCGTCATTACAGAAAAGAATGCATCAACGGCCACGGATTGGGCCATATACAAAAAGAAACACACTGAAAAAACCATCTAGAACAATGTCCACGAGAAGAAAACACGTGATGGAAAGGTAGAGTAGTATTCACAACTGCTCATAATGAGCCAAAAGAGTGGAAAAAATCTATGTAACGTCAATTCACAAAATTAAAAAAATTGTCATTTGAGATCCTTCCCTGCGAGCAGAGGGAAAAGTATCAAGAAACTGTCACAGCGTTCTTTCCGGCTTTGGAGGGAGGCCAATACCGATAGACGGATCTGCCAACAATGTTCTTTACAGGAAGCGGACCCCTGGAAACAATTTTATCACAGCAGCATGTCAGAAACGTATTGTATTCAGCTTAAAACAATGCTTACGTTCCATTACTTGTTATATTTCGGGTCAAATTAGGAGCCAATCAAATCCAACAAAATGTTAATTGAAATCCAAACCAAAAATTTTCAACAAAGATTAAGAGCATATAATTACCAGTTATGAGAGTCGAAACTGTTATTTCGATTGTCTCCCATAACAAAGACATAACCTTCTGGCACAAGCTGCAACAGTAACCGGGATTTTGTTAATCAACTTGAAGAGTGCATAAAAATGTTAACAAGAATGATAACATATTAATGAAACATTGAAAACAAATAGTCATGAATGAAAAGCCATATGAAGATTCATTACCACTGGATCCATTTCATAATCAAGAGACTCCAAAACGAATTCTTCATCTTGTGCAACCCCGTTCACTAGTAATTTCCCATCACGAACCTATTCAATACAAAGCGTTGTGGTACAATATATCAGAATAATATGTTAAAAGTTAAAACTTTTTCATTTTTTGCTTTAATTAGTTGAACAAATGGATCAGAGGCAATGACAATAAGCTCAAGAAACGAACTGTAAACGATCTAAAAAAGCTAGAAATCTTACTTGAACACATTCTCCAGCCTTGGCCACAATTCTTTTTATGAATACATCGGATGAACTATAACCGATTTCCTGCCAAAAAAAAAAAAAAAAAAACGAAAACAAAACTTGAGAATAAATAATACAAACACCATATATCAGGCACACAAAACTCTCACAAATTGCAACTGATACACAAATTCATAGACTTACCTGCAATATTTTAGGTGCTTTAAAGATAACTATATCTGAAACTTCAGGCTTTCTGAAGACATACGAAACCTGATTTAACAAAAATCCAGAAAAATAAAATCAATACATGAATTAACGCCTAAACATTTCATGTTGAAACTAATAAACAAAGATGCAATTCGCATACCTTTTCCGCTAAAATGCGGTCACCTACATCAAGAGTAGGGTACATAGAAGAAGAAGGGATTGATCTGGGCTCGGCCAAGGAAGACCTGAACAGCAAACTAACAGTAACAGCCGTGAAAACAGCTTTGGCGTCCTCCGAACAAGAATTCAACAGACGCGTTAGCCAACCACTGCCCTTTTGCAAGTGATCATCACTCGTAGCCTCACCAACGCTACACAAAGTCCCACCTTTATCCACCTCGTGGTTGACCGAAGAAATTTGGACCGACTCGTTGCAGGGAAGCCACTTGGAGCCCTGCAAGAATGGTATAATCGAAGTGGCTTTGATCGGCGAGATCCCAAACGTGCCCGTGGACGTCGCCGAAGAGGCCGAAACGCCGGCCGTTGACTTCATGATCGAGATCAGAGTCAACAGAATCGGACTCTTGCAATTCTCACCGAGAACCTCCCCAGCGAGGGTGCTGTAGGAGGAGGAGTTCTTGGCCCAGCAATTGGGCTTGGGCCGGTCGAAATCGGAGCGGTAATTGCGGGCGGAGAGGGCGGGATCGAGCTCGGCGGGCTTCTGGCTCGTGCCGAAGACCCGATTGCGGACCCAACACTCGTGGAACGCCCGGCAATTGCCGACCCGAAGCCCGGCCGAGGAGGCCAGGTTTTGGGCGACATAACCGGAGAAGGAGAAGGTAACACGAATTGCCATAATCACAAATTGGATTAACCGGAGGAAGAGAAAGTACAGAGTTGCTTCGGAGAAATACAAGGTCGATCTAGGAAGCCCTAGAATCCAATGGAAGCCGTTTTCGCTGAGTAAGGCAGTGAATCGAAGACGGCGAAGATGGATTGGAAGTTGGGTTTAGATTTGGGGGAAACAATCGGAGGCTATTGGGTTTTTGAGGATGGAGAGAACGGGTGGGGAAAAGCTCGGAGCGAGCCGAGCTTCGGGGCGTGTTTGGACGCCAGAAATTGGAGAGAAACGGCGAAAAAAAAAGGAGGTATGAGGTTTAAAAGAAACGAAGGGCTTAATCCTCCACGCAACCTTGTTGAAGTGGACGTGTTTCCTTTCGTATTTACGATAATGCCTGTGCGTCTCCTTTCTCCCCCTTTTTTTTCAGCACTTTACTTTTATTGGTTTTTATTTTATTTATTTACAGATCATCTATCAACTTTATGAGTCTGGTAGATTAATGGCTCAATTTTTAATCCTTACAATTACTTTTTAAATCTAAAATTCATTGTAATGTTGATTAAATTAAAAATAAAATTAAAAATTAGGATAGTTTCTTCTACATGAATATTTAATTAGGTTAATTTTAGTCTTTTTATATCGAATTAGTCCATATATACACATCATGAGTGAAAATTTTTTAAAATTAGAGAACCTCAATTTTCTTCCAAAACATTTAATTCTCGATTTTAAAAATTTTCACTCGTGATGTGCATATGGGTCCAATTTGATATAAAAGAACAAATTTAGTTTTGTTAAACGTTCACATGGAAGAAACTTACTAAAGTTTTAATTTCATTTTTAATTTTGATCAACATTATAATAAATTTTTAAGTTTACAGAGTAAATTATAAAAATTAAAAGTTTAGAGACCAATTCGTGAAAATTCATAAGAAAAAAGCCTAATTTTCTTGTTTTGATAAACATGTCACTTTTGTTTATAAATATACAACAATAACAACAAGTCTTAATCTCATCTTAATTGGAGTCGGCTATATGAATTTCACTTTTCCACGCAGCTCTGTTCGAAATTAGACTTTTCTGAAGGTCTAGATCTAGAATGTCATTCCTAACTACTTCGGTCCACGTAATTCTTGGTCTACCTCTCCCTCTCATAGTATTAGGTATAAGAATGTCCTTCCACGAACGAACTGGTGCTTCTAGCGATCTACGTTGGACATGCATGCACCACCTCAAGCGGCTTTCGTGCACCTTATCTTCTATTGGCGCTACATCTACTTTACTACAAATAACTTCATTCCTTATGCGGTCCATTCTCGTATGGTCACTCATCCATCTTAATATACGCATTTCTGTCACACTTATCTTACATATATGTTGTCTCTTAATGGCCCAACATTCACTACCATATAACATAGCTGGGTGGATTGCAGTCCTATATAACTTTTATTTCAACTTAATAGGCATCTTACTATCACATAAAACTCGTGTAACATTCTTTCACTTAACTCACCCTGCCTTAATCCTATGTTGAACATCCTCTTCTATATCTCTTTCGTACTGCACTATAGACCTAAGGTACCTAAACTTCCTAAATGTCATAATATCTACACCATCTAAAGAAATTTCATCACTCTGATTACTTGAATTACTAAATCTACAATGCATGTATTCAGTTTTCGTCATACTTAACTTAAATCATTTCGTCTCGAGAGTCTGTCTCCACAGTTCTAACTTACGATTAACTCTTTCCTTATATTTATCAACTAATACTATATCGTCCAAAAAAACATATACCAAGAAACTTTTGTTTATAAATATAACTGAAAAATTTTAGTGAGGTGCAAAAATATATACATATATATATATATATATATATATATATATATATACACACACGGTTTAACATTGAAAAATGAAAATACTTTATTAGTAGAGTTCTATTTAAAATATAATTGTGAAATATATATATATTTATCACTTTTATATTTCTTTCATTTAACATAATTTTTAATTACTGACGGTTAAAAACGGATAACTTACTAATATTTTATCAATAAGAGTGTGAAGTATGAATTGAGTTTTGTCGGTTTTACTTACTTTTTTATTAGATTTCTTTAGATCTAATGTTTAGAAAATAATAACTTACCGTAAAAATTTTCAAAAAATATTGTCGCTTATTTACCACTAAAGAATTGTACGAACAAAAGTCTAAAAATTTGGTTAAATATCAATATATCATCGTCTATCTTTGAAATGTTTTTTTATTGTAATGTATTTTCTTATAAAAAAATTTAATTTTTTTTTCTTTTTAGTTCAGTCTATAAACTTAAAAAGGAAAACGTTTGGTTGGAGGATTCAAACCATGTGATTCGAATCATTTTTAATTTACATATATTTTTTATGAGAAAAAATACTATAACGAACCACGAATCATAATTCAAATCAGAAAATAAATACCTCTATCAAACATCATCTTAATTGATACTGCCCGTTTCTTGGAAACAGGTAACTATAACGTGAGTGAGAGAAGCACCAAGGAAGGCCCCCTGGAAAGCGACAAGAGGTTAATTTGGTCATTCAACAAACTAATATAGGCGTGGCTCATTGTCGTAATTTTATCAAACTCGGAGGGCATTCATGGATACTTGTCGTCCTCTAATTTTGGTTGACTTTGACCATTATTGCTTTCCCATTGGTATGAATGTATGATCTTCCTAGCTTCCTCCCACTTTCCTGTGTCTAACAGCCCGGTGAAGACCGTATAGTTATCTGATTTGAATTAAAATATAATTTTATGTGAAAATTTTTTTATTATAATAAAAAAATTAAATGTGATTATTTTTGAGAATTTTTTTTTATAGTAAAATTTAAATCAGTGAAATAAACGAAGCCTACTAATCTCATGCTAAATTTTTAAATTTAAGTCCAAAAAGTTAGAATAATATTTTTTTTTATATATACAACACGAAATTGAAATAGTAATCTCCCACCTAAACTTCTAAATGTCACTAGATGAAGAGGTCTTATTAATTAGCTTTTACCTGCTCAAGTTTCTAAAATAGTAGAAGTATCTCTCAAGTTTCCATGCCATTTGGATTTCTCACTTCTACTCAAGTAATTTTGCACTGAGCTTCAAAAACTTTTTAATCCATTAGTGAATTTTGGAGGAATGAACATCTAATAAAGGGCTCTTCCCAAAAGAAATGTTAAAAGACTCTTTTTTATGTGTGTTTTTTAAATTAATGGAACTTATTTTTTAATTCCTTACTATATTAACATTTGCTATTTACTATTAAGTTTTTTTAGGTCAGTCTCATAAAAGGTCATTGACGTCTCACAGTTAGTTTCTAAAGTTTTACTTTATTTGAGTTTCGATCATTCTGTCATTTAGGTGCTAAATTTTTGACAAAATCTTTAGAAATTGGGAACTAAAATTGAAAATATTTAAAGTTTAGGGCTAAAATAATACAAAATATGAAAGTTGATTTTACATAAATAGTCTCTAAACTTTAGATGGTTTTAATTTTGCTTCTTAATTTATACATATTGTGTCAAATATTTAACGCCTAACTAATTGAATGACTAAAACCATAACAAAGCAAAACTTTAGAGATAAAATGTGAAATTTTTTTAAAGCCAGATATTAAAGTGAGATTAATGATAAATCTCAAGAATTATTAATGGGATTAACCATTTTTTTATATAAATAACCTTTTGATTTTTTTTGTGTTTTTTGAAAGTAACCTTTTGGGTTGTAATTCATGCACCTTCGACATTTGCAGCCACAACCTTAGTTGACGTTTCTTCTGTTGTTGATTTTGACCCTGAAGATGACGGAAGCGCATACCTCAGCGATTCAGTTAGTTGAATGAATGGATGTCAAAACATGAAACCGCTCCTATAATATTCCAATTATGGTTTTAAAAATTGAGATGTTTATTTTTTATATTCGTTCTTAATTTTAAGTTATGATTTATAATTTTTTATAGTATTTTTTTTATAAAAAATACATGTAAAACGAGAATAATTATGAATCATGATTCTGAATACATAAACCAAACGTCCTCTTACTATGTTAAAGTATAAAGCTATTATTGACCTACCTCCTAACAGCTTAAGCTTTTAGGATGAATTGGTAAACTAACATGGTATCAGAGCGGGAGGTCCTGAGTTTAAACCTCCGTAATTGCACTCTTTATCCCTATTTAAAATTGTCATAATGTGTTGGGTCTTTAATATATCTCAGGTTTAAATATTCACGTTTAAAGTATAAAACTATTGTCGGCCCACCTCGTAACAGCTTAAGCTTTTAGGATGAATTGGTAAACTAACATACTCAGACGGTCCAAACAATAAATGTAATAATTTAAATCCTAATTTGTGATGACATATTAAACATCATTTTTCAAAAGGAATATATTTTTAAGGAGTTTTTCTTATAGTCTCTAAAAAAATAGATTATCAATTTTTTTTTATTTTTCAACCGTAAGATCTATATCAAAATTTATATGTTTTATACATTTTTTAATTTGATATGATTTTAACAAAATTTAACGATTAAAATCTGAAACTACCGACAATGTGGCCTATTAAAAAAATTTCCGTATATTATTATTCCTCGGTACTGTATTTTTAAGTAAGAATAACAATAATAATAAATTACAACAAGTACTATTGTTTTAAAGAAAATATCATTTTTTTCCTGTCTCAAAAATTCCTGTTTAATGCTCGTTACTTCCAAAATCTTTAATTAAGGGTCAAAATCCTATATTCAAAATTTTCACACAAAAAAAAAAAGGGAACCCAAGAAAAAAAAAACGTACAAAAAATAGTATACTTATTATTATTTTTTTTTTTCTAAAGTTCGAACTTGGAAAAGTAATTGTTCAACTTTCCAACTTTGGAAAAAAAAAAATGGAAAATTTATAGTTGCCCAAATATCTTTTTCATTCCGCCTACCGGGATAAAGCTGACAATATAACGTAATAATTTATTATTTCAGCATGAAGTTTCTTATCGCTTTGACCAACTGTGATTGACCTCCCTAATGCGTATATGCCTTTTCCCCAGAGATTAGGATATAAGTTATAAACTCCAAGTTTTACTTATCCATGGAAACTATTAATGGTGCCATTTGATAACTAATGTTTTTGAAAATGTTTCTCTTTTGAGGCACACAAAACGAAATTATGTTCTATATAAGGTTTGGTTGACAAATGCTTTGAAATTAAGAACGAAAACAACAACAACAACAACAACAATAATAATAATAATAATTTGTTAAGAAAATGGAAAATAATTGAAAATTC